GCCTGTCTGTCTGCTACCTTGCCTTGCAGCTGAGCGATTATGGACTAAAACCTGTACAAACTGTGAGCCAAATAAACCTTTCCTCCCTTAACTTTAGGCATCAGGTATTTTTGTCTCAGCAACAAGAAAATTAACAGTACTGGCACAAAAACATGCATATTGACCAATGGAATAGAATTGAGGATGCAGAAAAACCCCAAGCACTTTTAACCACCTGATTTCCAACTAAGTTTCCAATAATATATGCTGAGAAAAGATAGCCTCTTTAACAAATGGTGCTGGGAGAATTGGTTATCCACATATAGAAGTATGAATCTTGGCCATATCTTTCACACTGTACTAAAATCAAATCAAAATGGATCAAAGACCTATGTAAAAATAGAAGCACTGAATCTGCTGGAAGAAAAAAATGGATAAAACTCTTGAAGATGTGGGCATAGGCAAAGAGTTCCTGAATGGAACCCCAGTTATACAAGAAATAATACCAAGAGTTAATAAATGGAATTATATCAAATTAAGAAGCTTCTGCACAACAAAGGAAACAACCAATAGAATTAAAAAAACCCCTATATAACGAGAAAATTTTTTTTCACTAGCAGCTCCTCAGACACAACTGTATCTAAAGAACTCAAAAGTTAGACCCTCCACATAAAATACCTAAATAAAAAAATGAGCAGTTGAAATGGTCATTTCACAGAATAAGAAATACACATCGTGAATAATACATGAAGAAATGTTCAGTGTCTTTGGCCATTATAGAAATGCAAATTAAAGCAACTCTAGAGTAAGATTCTTACTCCAATAGGAATGGGATTTGTCAAGGATTCAAAACACAAATGCTGGGGAAGTTGCTGGGGAAAAACAGTCCTTCTGCATTGCTGGTGGGTGTGAAAATACATCTTGGAAACACTATGGATGGAGATTCCTCAAAAAACTAAAATAGTACCTCTGCTGGGTGTTTCCCGGAAGAGCTAGTCATACTGTACTGGTATAGGCACACCCATGTTGATAGCAGTAACTGAATCGTAGAAGTGACCTGCATGCCCACCAGCAGGTAGAAAGGTAAAGGGATGTGTTATGTATACACAGTGGAGTGCTGCTTAATCGTGAAGAGGAGTACCTTTGAGTCAGTTGTAAAAAAATGGGTGGATCTTGAGACTGTAATACTAAGTAAATCATTCACAAAAGATTAAATATTACAGGGTTTTTCTAGTAGTATGAGACCTGAAATTAAATAGTGAAATAAAAGAGCCATGTTAAGAAATGGGAAAGCAGACTCTGGATTTGGCAGAAGAAGGGAGAAAGGAGAGCAGGGAGGGCAGAGAGAGTACACGTGATGGAGAAAAGTGTAAGTGTCAGACCTCTAAGCTGGATGCACTCACGTGGCATCACCACATATACTAATAAAAAAATTTGAAAAGAAAATTAGTTCTCCCTTATCCATGGCTTCATTTTCTGCAGGTTGTTCCCCAGTCAACTGATTTGAAAATACTAAGTGGAAATATCCAGAAATAAAGTTTTACAGTGTGCATTTTTCTGAGTAGTGTGATCAGATTTCATGCCATCTCACTCTGGTGCCCATCCTTGTGTCCAGAATATCCCTGGCATGTGTGCTACCTGTCCGTGGGTTATTTAGTGGCCATCTTAGTTATTGTATCACTGCTGTGGTTTCGCAGTGCTTGTGTTCAAGTAACCTGTATCTGACTTATAATGGCCCCTAAGACAGGCCAGAGGAGCCCTGAAGTGTTTGCTTTACTGTTCTCTCGCATCATCACAAGAAGGGTGAGTGTAGTGCAGTAAGATACAGTATCTTATGTTGGTAATCTCTTACTGTGCCCATTTATGAATTCAGTGCCATCATAGGCCTGTATATATTGGAGGAAATGTAGTATATATGGGTTTGGTATTACCTACAGTTTCGGGGTCCACTGGGGGCTTCGGGGTGGGGAGTGGAGAGAGGATACTGTATGCTGAGTGCTAAAGACAAGAATAATTACACCTGTGCTTTTCAAAATGTGGTCTGTGAATGGCAGCCTGGGCCTCGCTGGGAAGTTGTGAGGAAGGCATGACAAGATTATTAGAAGTTAGAGTCTGCCTTTTCCTCCTATCCCCAAGTGAGGTGTATGCACATAGAATCCGAGAGACACTGGTTCAGTTTTCTTAATTACTAGAATAGTTCAACCCCCTAGCTACTTATCTATTTCTACGCACCTTAGATTTCTGTATAGAGCTTCAAAATAGGTTGTTGTTGTATAAATTGTTAACAAATGCTAGAAATGGATAGACAAAGTGCAGAGCTACTGGAGGAGGCTGCTGTATCCCGAGTAGTCATAGAAGTCCCAAGTGAATATCTGTCAGTTTATAGATGCCACTTCTCAAATATATGAGTAGATTATCTGGGGATAGGTTGTGTACACACACCCAACTTCCTGTGTAATTAATAATTTGGAGGGTTATTTCTAAACCTATTTTATAACTACTAGCCTTAATGAATGCTGTTTTTTAGAATAACTTTTACCTTTAGATTAAAAAGTATGTGGCTGGGTGGCAGTGTGGCTCAGTGGTGATGAAACACTTGCCTAGGAAATTTTACTTAAAACAGAAGCCTCCAGTTTTTTTGTTTGTTTGTTTGTTTTGTTACTGGGGATTGAACTCAGGACCTTGTACTTGAGAGGCAGGTGCAGTGCCACTAAGCTAAATCCCCAGCCCTAACCTCCATTTTAAAAAAGCTTTATTTGACCTGGGGATTTGCTCAGTGGCGTCGGCACCTGCCTTGCAAGCGCAAGGTCCCGAGTTTAATTCCCAGTACCAAAAATAAATAAATAAATAAATAAGCAAGCTTGATTTTTATTGATGTCTCTTCTGTTACTATTTTTTCATACTCAAGTTTATTAAAACCTGTTAATTGTAAGCTTCTGAATATTTGACATTTCTAGGTATTGTATTTTTCCATTTTTTAGATAGGGAGTATTTGAAATTAATTATTAGAAAATAAAGTTATGAAAGGATACATTCAGAGGTATGAAGGATTGTAAAGCTAAGCCTTATATTCTTGTATACATGTTGTACATTGGCTCTGCTGCCATGGATTCCAGATCTTTTTGACTCTGACGCAGACAGGTACCATTTTAGGGCACAGCTCACGTATAGAGGCAGAGTTGATGCTGTGACCCTTTGGCTGAGGAAGTTCAGAACAACCAGGCTCTTCAAGCCCAGTGTGTGCTTTTCCTCCTTTCTCAATCCCAGTTGCTTGCCTCAGTTTTGCATTGTTTGTAGGTGACTTTTAATTATGCATGCTATTAAATTTTATGTGCTTTTCAGCTTGTAGCAAATAGTTTCATACTGTATGATTCAGCATAGCTTTTCCTAGTCTCAATATCGTGTTTAGGATTCATTGATGTGATTGTAAGGATTTTTGAGGCAGCCCTTGTTTTCTTTCTTGTACATACTACTGATAGATTTAAAACTCTTTTCCAAAATGGTGGGTGCAAAATGGAAGTCATTATAGGTATTTTCCCTAATTACCGCTGAAATTGAGCAAGTTTGTTTCTGTATGTTTATTGACTATACATGTCTTTTGGGAATTATATATCCATTCATAACGTTTTGTCTGTTTGCATATGTATGTATGTGGTCCTGGGGATTGACCTCCGGGTCTGACACATACTAAGAAAGCACTTTTATCACTGAACTGCAACACCCTCAGCCACACATCTTATTTTTAAAAATATCTTTTATTCCCTTGCAATCCCACCTACTTGGAAGGCTGATGATGTAGGAGGATCATGAGGTCAAGGCCAGCTAGGGTAACAAAGCAAGACCCCCCTCCTATCTTATGAAGTATTTTTAAAAAAAATTTTATCTGTTGTATAATTTAAACAGTATCTTATATACTTAATAAAGTACTTTTTATTATGACTTATACTGCTGCTGGTTCTGAGTAAAACACCTATTCACATAAATTAGTTTTAAAATCTTAGATTTAGGGGAAAGTTTTTAAGAAAGCAAATTTAGTAAAATGATTAAGGTTCTAGAAGGATTCTTTCTACACTGTCAGTGCAGCCAAGACCCATGTCATCTTATGTGGCAAGCTACTCATGGTAGCTTCCATTATAATTGTATAAAAACTAGAATGCTTATAGTATGCTGTCTTGGGGTTTAGTTTTAATACTTTTTTCTCTTTAAATTCATGCACACAGCTTGTTTGTTTTATTGCTTATGTCCACCAAAGTAGAAAACATTTTCTTTATGCAAACCCTGGACCTGTTCCATCTTATGAGCAGAGAGAAAGGCCATCTGCTCACTCAAACGGCACCACCTCTGCATCTGAATACCTGCATTAATCTTTTAAAAATTTTTTACAGTGTTGTTTATTTTATTTTACTAGTACGTGTTTCCAATTCATACAGTTTACAGTCATCTTGGGGAGTGGTTATATGTATATGTTACAACATGCGGTTTTTTTCTAGTCACCTCCTCCTTCCCCTCCTCCTCTGGTTCCCGTCACCTATTCCGAACTTGTTGGTGTTATTTGTCTTAGCTCATGGTACGGCATAGAATGTTTACATCGATTAGCATTATTAGGATGCTGTACATGGCACATCTTTATTCCTCTCATTTTCCCTTCCCCTGCCCCTCACCCCACTCCTCCTTTCCTGGGACCACTTCCCTATTAGATGAGATCTGTCCCCTGTCCCTTTCTGTTCATCTTTTGTCATTTTCTTTGGATACTCTTTCTTGGATAGAACTTGGGACCTTGTGCTTGTGAAGCAGGTGGCGGAACTACTGAGCTAAATCCCCAGCCCTTATCATTTTTTTTTTTGTCCTTGGCCTCAAATGAGAGAGATGCCATAAAATATGTAAGCATGTGTGTCTGATTTATTTCACTCAACATTAATGCTTCTTTTTCTTTTTTCCTTAATTAGGTCCCCGATGGGCTTCCTGGAATATTGGTGTGTTTATTTGCATCAGATGTGCTGGAATTCATAGAAATCTTGGGGTTCATATATCCAGGGTCAAGTCAGTCAACCTAGACCAATGGACACCAGAACAGATACAGGTAAACACTGCCACAACAAGAAGTTATTAAAACCCTTAAAATGATTTAAAATATCTAATCCTTGCTGCGGAGAATGTTGAAAAGAAGTGCACTGAAATGTTACATATAAAAATTGAGTGTTACTTGACTTGTAATTTGCAGATGTTATTTTTGCCTCTATTATATTATATTTTTATCTAAAAATACTGATTCTGATGTAATTGAACAATATTTTTTTCTTGTGTTGATGAAATTTGCCATTTTAATTCCATAGTTTATTTTCCTGTCAGTAGAGGGAGCCTTAGTAAAGATAAAGAAAAAATCAACTCTAACCTGAAAACTGACTTGGAGGATCTCTCTTCTGTCCAGAGGTGTACTTGATATTTGAACGGTAGATGGAAGGTAGTCCATGAGCACGTACGTGTTCCTGTGAGCGTCCAGACTTGTATGGAGCAGCTTAGCTTTGTGAGGGATAACTTCGTAATTTTACGAGTTTGCTGTTTTTCTGGTGTGAGTCTTAAGTCTTCGGAATCTTACTGTCCAGTCTTTAAGATTGGCCACAAACTTAAAAACAATTACTTTTACTGTTTGGACTTTGTAATTTACAGTGAAATTACCTACTTTTGAATGTGCTTTTAGTCAGTATAAAGTGCTAAATGCATACAGTCATCCCTTGGTATCCACAGAGGGTTGGTTTCACGGTCCCCAGTGGCAACGATGCCCAAGTGCCTTCTGGAGGGAGCATTTGTGTAGAGCCTGGACATATTCTTGCTTTTGTGTGCCTTGAATCGTTCCTAGATTGCTCACAATAGGAACACAATGTAAATACCCTGCAAACAGTCGTTACACTTCTCTTTAGTGAATAATGGGAGGGAAAAAAAGTCTGTTCATCTTTAGTAGAGATGTAGTTTTTTCCCTTCTAATATTTTTGACCTGTAGTTGATTGAATCACAGATGCAGAACACAAATTGTGGAGGGCAGCTGTATGTGGTCGGACCCCAGTGATACACATGCGTACTTCAGAATCAGAAAAAAACAAGGATTTCCATTGGTACAGTGAGGTTGGGGTCAAAGGAGTAGGGTAGAGATTGTCAGGCTATAAAGTCAAGCATAATTTATCAGTTCTAGGTTTGAGTTTTTTTGCTCGGAAAGGCATGGAAGGAAATGTGATCCTTTATGTATTTTCAAGATCCTTGAGAAAACATCTGAGTTATATCAGAAACAGAACTTTTTGAACATTTCATAGATGGCAGTGACCTTAGTATCTCTAGCAATGTGGTAACAGATGTTATAATGCTTTCTTGTCTTTTTTGAGAAAATGTGAGATGTAGCTTGAAAATGTAATGACATTTGTAATGGCCTGTAGAGATGAAAAAAGTTGAAGACAAAGCATATATATATAGCCTTTTTAATAGTTCATTATAAATCAAGGAAGAGACATGGAATCCCTGGACAGTTCAGTTCTCCAGCAATATTTTCCTCAGTTAGTCCATTGAGAAGAATTGAAGAGCAGGTATTTGTGGTAGCAGCTGTGTAGCTTGGAGCAGAATTTCCAAATCAGTGGGCTGCAATTCACTGATACTCTGTAGATAAGTACTAGGTACATGACAAGATACTGAATTATTAAAATGTAAGAATATAAAAAACAATTATGTAATGTACACTGTTTAAAATTATATTTGAGCTGGGTGTGGTGGCTCACGCCTGTAATCCCAGTACTTGGGAGGCTGAGGCAGGAGGATCATTGTTAGTTCAAGACTAGCCTGAGCTACCTAGTGAGTTCCAGGTCAGTCTCAACCCCCCCCCAAATATATATGAATATAATTTGTTTTCCCCTGAAATCAGGCTAATTGAACTAAGAGTTATTTGGAATGTGAGGTTCATGATGAACACCTGTCCCTACAGAAATCTCTGCCTAGCTCTGTAGTCCACAGAACTCCTACCCAGCATGCCAGGATGAGAAAGCAGGTTAGGGTAGCCTTAGGAATCCGTTGTTAAACAACAGTTTAACTTTAAAAACCAGATAGACAGCCCTGCCAGTATTTTTGTGCGAGCCTTGTGAGTACTTGCAAGTAAAACTAGAGTTGTTATTTAAAATTGTTTCTGAGATTATGAAATATACATAGTAATTGTTGAAAACCCAAATTTCCAAACTGAAGAGCATGGACTTTGTTTCTTCCAGGGGTATTTAAGGATAGCTGATCCCAGAGAGGAAGTAGAACAAGTAATTACAAAAGCTTCCTCCAGAATCAGGCCTGCATGATCCCCACAGCATACTGGACCTTAGGGCACCTCAGTTTCTTCATTTCTAAAATAAAAATAGTAACAGTGCCTGCCCATGTAGGTTCCTGGAGAATCAGATAAATTAATATAGGTGAACCATTTAAAATCGCACATGGTACATTTTGAATTGGTGAGTAGTGTAGTAGTATTAGTCCACTTGTGCATTGCAGAGTACTGTCAACATTGCTGCTTTGAATATATTCCTGACTTTAGCAGTTAGCTTCCTAGTAATCTGCTGTAATAAATTGGTTTGAATACTTAGTTTAGTTGTTAGGAAGCAGTTTAGCTTCCTGCTAATCTATTGTTTGAACTGATCTGAATGTTTAACTTTGGCTACTTCTGATTGGGGTAATATAATTTAATCTCTGAGCCTAGTCAAGTTATTAAATAAAAGCTTGTGTGTGTGTGCATGCATGTCATGTTGTAAAATCCACCTATTTACATAGTTTTGACCCAGGGTTACTTATAAACTGACATTATATAAACTGTGTTTTTAGTCATTTATTTGTATGTGTTGTGTGTGTTTTTCAGCTTTTAGGACTTCTCCTAAAGGCACTGATACTGTAGAATTACTCTTGCTTATTTTTGAGAGAAGATGATTAGCTGGGCAAGGCGGTGAGTGCCTGTAGTCCCAGAGGAAGCGGAAAGCTCAGCAGCTCAAGCCCCGTGGTACAGGACACCTGGGCTCAGTCTTCAGTGCCGTGGAGGGGTCTACCAAAGCTTTTTTGATTTTTATTAGCACAGAAATAGTTATTCACATTTTTTAAAAAGTCCATTAGGGCCAGGGATTTAGCTCAGTGGTCCTGCTGCCTGCCTCACAAGCACAAGGTCCTGAGTTCCATCCCCTCGACATTCTTTTAATGTGGTTTATGGTCAGGTTAAATTTCTCTGATCTTGGGTGTATGTTCATTTACTTCCTTAGTTTTTGGAAATATTTAATTTTTTATACCGTTGCAAATATTGCAGCTTTCATCTTTATTGTTTGTTTGTTTTTTTTTGTACCAGGGATCGAATTCGGGTCCTTGTGCTTTTGAGGCAGGCGGCGGAACCACTGAGCTAAATCCCCGGCCCTATAGTTTTCATCTTTATAATGGTTAATTGATCCAAATCTTGATGTTTATATTCCCATTTAAGAACTCATAATTATTCATATTAATCTAAAAGTACTAATTAAACTTTAAAAATACTAGCCAGGTGTCACAGCACATGTCTGTAGTCCATGTCTATAGTCCCAGCACTCTGGGAGGCTGAGGCAGGAGAATTCCAAGTTTGACTTGAGCCTGGACAACACTTAGGAAGACCTTGTGTCAAAATAAAAAAGAGAGCTGGCATGTAGTGCAGTGTGAAGGCCTTGGATTCAATCTCTAGTACTGCAAACAAATAGTTAAATAAAACGATAACTTACCCATGTTACAGAGGAATGTTACTTGTATTACCAATCTCACTTGAAATTTTATGTTGCTGAATAAAATATTGTAATGAGATCTCGTCCATATTGGAAAATATATTCTATATATTTAGTAATTATCTTAGTAACTTTTAGGCTTTTAATATATTCTCTAGCTACAGTGTTGTACTTATCCCTTGCAGCTTCTTTCTTATGTACTCATGTCATTTATTGATTATCTCTTTTTTGTTTTTTTTTTTTGAGAGAGGGTCTCACTATGTCGTTCATACTGCCCTGGAATTCACTGTGTAGCCCAGGCTGGTCTCGAACTCACAGCGATCCTCCCGCCTCAGCCTCCTGAGTGCTGGGATTACAGGCATAGGCCACCATGCCCGGCCTGATTACCTCTTTCTTGGAACTATGAAGCCCACAAAATTTAAATATTTTCCTTTATCGACTGTGTCTTGGGGAGGAACTTTCCTTTTTGTTTTGATATTTTAAGAGTTATTTTTTTATTAGTGTATATTTGCCAGAAGTTACATTTGCTTTGGAGAATTAGGGTACATGTATGTATCGTAGCTTGATCATTTTTTATTTCTTACTATTATGGCTTGTGTTTAGATGTCCCCCGAAGCCTCATGCAAATGAGGGGTTTTATTTTGGAGGTGGCTGAATCTAGAGTGAGTGATGCTCGGATTAAGGGCTTGCGGTTCTTAAACCACCCATGAGTGGGTGACTGGTTTGGGACCGCCCTAAACCTGAAGTCTGACTAAGATAAAGGCTCCGAGAGATGCTGTTAAGCTCTCTTGTTGCCTTTGCTGTCTTCCACTCCCATGAACTGTTGTCTCACTGCCACCCTGCCACGGAGCCAGATAAACCTTTTCCCTTTAATTTTGGGTGTCAGATATTTAGTCTCAGTGGTGAGAGAAAAGTAACTAACACATCTACCCACTTGCATTTGAAATTGCAGGCTCTGTGGGTCTGACTTCCCCTTATGGAATTTGCTCTCAACATTTTATACACATGTTCACTGCTCTTCTTCCTATCTTTGCCTCTTTTGATTTCAAGTTTGAATCTGTCCTTGGTTGGAAGATGTCTTAGTCACTTTCCTCGTTGCTGAGACAATTCTAGACACCCACAACTGAAAGGAGCAGAGGTTTATTTTGACTCACGCTCCCATTGGGTTTAGCCTGTGGTTGGCAGATTCAAAAGGAGTAGTGGTGTGCTGTGGAGAAAAGCTGCTCCAGGCAGGGTGGCCAGGCCAGAAGGAGCTGCATCCTTCTCAGTCACACCCCAGTGACCATTCCCGAGGGCACATTGACCTCCTGAGCCAGTCACTGGATGCACCCCC